CAGAGGCAAAATATAAAATAGTTCGTTAGGATGGTAGATCAGAATGTAAATGTTAAAATCATCATGATGTAAGGGTGAAGATGCAGCTAAGAAAGAAGGGGAAATGGGACAGGGTGGACAGTACTGTTAGTTATAAAAAGAAGTTAGCTTGTGGGGTTGGGGAGATGGCTCAGAAGTTAAGAACACCTCTTTTGCAGAGGACCCCAGTTCTATTCTTAGCACCTGCATGGTGACTCACAACTATCTCTTGATGATCACAATCACCAACCTGATTCCAGGGTGATCTGGTGCCCTCTTCTGGCTACTACAGGTACCAGGCACACATGTGATGTATTCACATACCTGAAGGTAAGACACTCCTATGTATGAAATAAATATTTAAAAGTCAGTCTGTATACTGACCCCCCGCTTATGAAGATGTAGAAGTGTAGTTGGCATCCTTACCCAGTGGGCTCCTTGCTTGCTGGGCTCTACAACCAATGGCTCAATCACCTATGGATCCACAATACTCAGGAGAAGTTACATTTGTGTTGAATGTGTAGAGGTTTATTTCTTGAGCAAGATCCTGTTCCCACTACCTACATAGTATTGGCATTGTGTTAGGTTAGATATTATAAGTCATCTGGAAAAGATTAAAATATACAAAAAAGGATACACATAGGAAATGTGCTCATGGGTTGTGGTCTTTGTAAGAAGTCCTGGACCCAAGCCAGGTGGTAGTGGCGCCCGCCTTTGATTCCAGCAGGCGGATCTCTGTGAGTTCAAGGCCTGACTGGTCTACAGAGCTAGTGCCAGAACAGGCATCAAAGCTACACAGAGAAACCCTGTCTTGAAAAACTAGAAAAAAAAGAAGTCCTGGACTCAATCCCTGGCAAATACCAAGGGACCACCTATCTCATTACAAGTGTTGCCAAGAGGAGAAACAGGTAACTTATTAAATGTTGAAATGAAGAAAGGTTTAAAGAAGTGTGGGATAGTGTTAAGAGACTGGACCTTGTCTAGAGTGATAGACACAGAAATGAGGATTTACATCTGAATTATAGAGGTAAACATTGGAAATCTGCTAGGAAGAGCTCACCCCTGGGGAGAGGGACTATGGCTTTTCTCTTGTTCTTCTGCTTCCTTGGCCCTGCTTCAACCACCAGTGTTCAGTGCAGTAGACAGTACCTGGCCTGTCACACACATGCATAATTAAGGGATCCAAGTCCAGAGGCCACCTTCTCTGGTCTTATTGGTTTCCTGCATTTTCAGACTCCTGCATGTCCTCACGGCACCTGAAGACTAGGGAGCAGGAGAGGTGGCATTGAGACCACTTGATGCTCTTCCAGAGGACCCAAGTTTGGTTCCCAGCACCATGGTGTGATGCTCACAACTGACTACAGCTCCAGGGGATCCGATGCCTTCTTCTAGGCCTGTGGTTTTCAACCGGATCGTAACCCCTTTGGGGGTTGCATATCAGATCTTTACGATTCATAGTGGTACCAAAATTACAGTTATAAAGTGGCAATTTATGGTTGGGGTTTGCCATAACTTGGAGAACTGTATTACAGGGTCACAGCATTAAGGCTGAGAACCACTGCTCTAGACTCTGCAGGTACTTTTTCACACATGGCATGCCCCCCCCCACACATAAATAAGTCTTTTAAAAGCTTAGTATGTCTGTCTTAAGGTTTCTAATGCTGTGAAGAGACACCATGACCACAGCAACTCTAATAAAGGAAACCATTTCACTAGAACCGGCTACAGTTGCAGAGGTGTAGTCCGTTGTCATGATGGGAAGCACAGCAACAAGCAGACAGACATGGTTCTGGAGAGGTAGCTGAGATTCTACACCTGGATTTCTAGGGCAGCAGGAAGAGACCGTGATCCACTAGGCCTGGCTTGGGCTTTTGAAACCTCAAAGCCCCCCTCCCCCTTCCTGTAACACACTTCCTCCCAAAAGTAGAAATCTCCAATAATGCCCTCAATGAGTCTATGGGGGCCATTTTCCTTCAAAACATTACAGTATTTCAGGTAAGAATCATTATCTTACTCATGGATTATATTTCTGTATTCTCTTGTCTTCGACAGTAGAATTACACATGAGTCATTCTGTTGACATTTTTACATTTACAGAGTTGTATAGCCATTTCCATAACCCAGTTCTGTAACAGTTTTGTCTCTCTGAAAAGATTGCTCATATTCACCTCTAGCTTGTGGTTCTAGCCCAGGCAGCTACTACTCTACTGTTGTCTCTACAGATGTGCCTCTCTATGCATTTCACATGAGTAAAATCATATGTGTGCTCTTCTGTAACTCACTTTTTCACTGAGCATGTTTAAGTTCATCCATGTCTTCACATATATGAGCAGTATTCCATTGCGTGCTCACCCCCAGCTTGTTTATCCTTGTCAGCTGATGGATATGTGGATACTTTCTACTTTGAGGACAGCAAGAATGGAGCTGTTTTAAAAACTTACATAAGGTCTTCACGTAGACCTGTGCTTTCATTTCTTTCATATGCATTTATATGCTTAGTGTATACTTAACTTTTCCCCCCTGTGGCCCTGGGAATTGACTTGCTGGCCTTGCAAGCACTGTCACTGAGTTGGATTCCCTGCCCTTGTGTTTAACTTTTTCAAGAACTCCCAAAGTATTTCCCAAAGTAGATGTACTGTTTTATAGTTTCGCCAGCCGTGAGTGTGGGTCCTGGTTTCTCTGTATCCTTGTCAAAACTTGATATTGGCACTGTTGTGATTTAGTGATTCAAGTTGGTCTGAAGAGGCTTCTCATCAGTTCATCTACCTGATAGTTAGACTGTGTTTAATTGCAGCAGCATTTGAAAACCACCTTTGATTCTTTTCTTCCTTACTCTGCTTTCTATGGTATGCCTCTTAAGGACACCTTTAATTGCTGTTCTTTATCCTGATTTCTATTTACTTTACTTCTCCACTATACTTGATTACTAAAATTAATAATATTTTTCTGATGCCAAATATTTTCTATACTATCATTAAAATGAACTTCCTAACTTGCCAATATGACCATGCAACTCCATTGCCAAAGACTCTTCAGGGACTTCCTGCTGCTCTTTGGATGATTATGCCTGGGGTCTACCTTCCTTGTTCCTTCTCCACCAAACTCACACTCCTGTGAACTGTACACCTTCCACATATGTGCCCGAACACATCCTGGCCTTGGGCCTGTCAACAACTGGTTGACCACCTTGGCTTTTTGTTCAGCTTTCTGTCACTATGGAAACACTGAGAAAAGTAAAATAAAGAGGTTGTTTATTTTGGCTCACAGCCTTGTTCCGTAGTTAGTTGGCACTGTTACTTTTGGGCCTGTGGGAGACAGAACATCACCTCAGAGAACATGGAGCAAAGCCCTTCATCTCGGTGTCCAGGAAACAGGATGGGCCAGGGTCGCTATGTACCTGTGAGATGCACTAAGGGCCAAGTCAAACGGCCTAACTCCCTCCACTAGGTCCCATCTCCTAAAGGCTCTGACACCTCCCAGCTGTGCCATCAGATAGGAACCAACCATCCAACACATAAGCTTACGATCCAAACCACAACAATGACTCAGCCAGACACTGTTTGAGTTACTCATTTTATGCTTGTCGGTCCTGTGTCCAGCAGGAGGAGGGCATTTGTTTAAGAGTCTCACCACTTAGCACACGTGTTCACAGTAAATGGAGACATTGTTCTTAAGCACCAAGGCTTCCATTCAGTGAAATGCCAGCTTGGAAATCCTATTTTCTAAGATGGAATCACATGCATCCAGGTAGCTCACATCTGCAAACTCAGCATTTGGGAGTTTAAGGCAAAAGGACTACAAATTTTAGGCAAGCCTGGGCTATACAGCAAGACTCTGTCTTAAATGATAAAATAAGGAATCACATAGCTCTCCTTGCCACTAATTTTTAGTGTATAAATGATACTCAGTACAAATTGTGATATTTCTCTTAATAAATGTATCTTGAATGGCATAAAACCACGTGATTTCCCACATGATCTTTAGGGCTCATTCCTAAACTATTGGCAGTATAATAGCTTCCTAATTCAAATAAAATAGTGAAGGATATTTTTATCATCTCATTTTTAGCCTCAAATACTGTGTGCTAAAATGATTTATGTATATATATGTACATATGTATGTAATTACTATAGCTATAAAAATTTCCTTTGAATGTGGGAGATAATTGTGGCAATGAAAATAAATCTATAGTCGAAAGCTTTTACATATATAATATATATAAGCTTTTGACTATAGCTCTCTCTCTCTCTCTCTCTCTCTATATATATATATATATATATATATATATATATTTATAAAACAAATGTGTTTGTGTTTTGTACCCATGAAGTAATGTTATCTGAATTGTGATTTTTAGAACACATCACCATCCAAATGCTTAGTATACCTTAGATAATTATGTGAAGTAAACACCCGGATTTCATTTAGACAGATCTATAGATTGATATTTTAAAACATGGTTTTTGGAACTTTTCTTAGTATATATGAGGCTCAGGGATCGCATACACAGAAGAAGGTGGAAAGATTGTAAGAGCCAGAGGTGACGGATGGCTCCGAGGAGACAGCGTTCTCCAGACACAACAGGACTTGACACACCAGGATTCAAGGAGACCGCAGCAGCGTGCTCAAATGGCTTTGTCTCGGTTCTCAGGTGGCTTATATTATCAGACCCACTAGTTACACCATCTCCGGCTGGCACATAGGGGTGAGCTCGGTTACAGCTTTTGTTGCCTTCAGTTTTGTAGGTCCACGTCATTATGTATAAATATTACATAGTCTATAAGGGAATTATTTTTTAAGCCCTGTAGTTCGCCTGCCCATTAGTTTTGCATTAAAATGCTGTTTCTCCACAAGCTTACATAACACTCGAAAGTTAGCAGGGCACGCAGAGATGAGTAAAGACTAAAGAAAGTGGCTCAATTTCATAACTCTGAAACTTGGACCGTGCTTTAGGGTGCCACCTAGTGCAGCAAACTTCCTGGGTGAAATCCTGCCTGCTTGCAGTTTGGAAATAATGTGGGAGTGGTTCCCTCGGCTGCCTGCTCCTGACCTCTGTGCACACCTTGGTCTGCCTTGACCTCGCCCACACTGAAGGGACGTAAGCCAGATTTTTGATTTGTTGTAAAGTGCAAGTCACCGCTGCCGAAGCGATCAGTATTCAAAAACTTGTGAAACGCTGCATGTCTAGCAAAATTTACTTTTGTATGGGAATATAAATGTTTGCTGAGGTAAGCCCTGTTTGTTGCGGGGGAGAGAAAAAAAGAAGGAATCGGTATACTTTTACTCTACTATGTGTTGGTTCTTGATTGTTTTTCTCTTCCTCCCTCCTTCCCTCTCCCTCCCTCTCTCCCTCACCCCCATCTGACTGTAAAAGAGATTGATTGGTCAGCGAAGATTTTGATATTGCACCTGTTCTTGTCAGAAGCAGTGGATCAAGCGTTCACTGCAGTGTCTTTACTAAGTCAGGAACCTGCAGTCACGATGTAAGTACGACATTTTCAGCTCTTTGCCGGTGCCTTTGTTTCTGTTAGAGTAGCAAACGTCACACACAAGTCTCCTTATTTACCTTGCCTTGCCAAATGGCAGGTGCTGTTTAAAGCAAGGCATGTGTCAGTGGATTGACAGGCAGGGTGTGCGACTTCTACTAGACAGGGAAGAGCACTTAGAGAAGTTTTACCATTGTGACCGAAGTGCAAAACTTTTTCGTGCTCTTGAGATTTTTCTCCAAGGAGGACCCATCTTCAACAAGTTGGAAAACTGGGAGGTATGGGTTCTTCTGGGAAGTTAGCTTTCTGAGAAGCCTCATGGAAAAGCACAGATGTCCCGAAATGACTCAATCGACCATGCTGCTGACGTCTTTGTGCACGTTTGGCAACACTGAAGCCTTACCCAAAGCTAACCTTTCAGCGCTGGCCTTTGTTTGCTCGGTTCGTGTTTCAGCAGAATGTGTGTAGCTAAGACACTCAAATTCTGTCATGCACGTTTTTTCAACATTTTAGCTTTGCTGATTGAACATTTGACACTTTATAATGCCCTCAAAAGCAAGATAATTTCCCCTAAAATATAAATTTTAAATTATTTTAGGTGCTGTCTTTCAACCCTAATCCTTTCACCAAGAATGAAGCTATTTAAAAATTAAGATGCCAACAGGTAATTTCTTGTAAGTTCATACTTTTTGTCTATGTGTGAATTTTGCTTAGCAATAAAACAGCAAATGTATATTGATATAAAGTTATATATTGTCTCCCATGTAAAGTCTTCCAGAAACATTCTAGTTTTAAAAGACCTATATAACATACAACTATGTTACTTTTTACTTACATGTTTTATTGTTTGTTTGATTTTTTTTTTGTTATTTTTACAAAGTGACAGATTCTAGCTTTCTCTCTTGTATCAACTTCTCAAATACTAACTGAATGAAATCAGGATAAAAGTATATTCAGAGGCAGTAATTCAAGTCAGACAAGTTTCCTTTACTGATAAAACAGCAGGTATTACCGAGAGGTAACTTGTAATGCAGTTAAAGTCAGAGACATTGATTCCAGTGTGGCTGTCTCATTCCATCCTTAATCTTAAAATGTGGCCGTTCCTGGTTCTGGTGGAATGATAATTAGCATTTTATTTTACTCCTAAATTGTTACATAATGTCAGAAGTTAGATTATTAAGAAACATGATATTGTATAAGAGAAGGGAGTCAAAAAAAAACTAGTTTAGGCCAGTTTACTTTCTTTTTAAACACTTAAATCCTTTGTATGTCTGGGGTTTTTCCCTCTTTACTTTTTATACTTTTTAAAATATGCTTTCATAGTTGCCATGAGAAGCTGAACACATTTTTTTCTCATTTCAAAGTAAAAGGAAAATTTAAACTTTAAAAATTCAGACTGGGATTTGGAGCTCCTTACAACTTTATCCTAACAGGCGTCAGTGGTTTAGAGGCCAATATACTAGCAAGACTTTTTAGTGGTGTATTATATTTTAATTCCACATTGAATGCCAAATGGAAGTAATACCATTTTCTCTTGCACGTTAGATGAATCTAGATCATGTTTTGGACAGAAACAGTCAGGAACTAGCAACATGCAATCTTAAAGCAATATGATGGTCTCTTTAGGGAGAAGTTCTCAAGTTTCTCATCGTAAATAGTAATTGATGAAGACTGATTACAGAAAGGTGAAAGAGAAAGTAAAGCTAGAGAAAAAGTAGGGAAAGAGGAAATCAGGAGAGAAGACATGGTTCTTTTCCTCGGTATTCTGAACATTTAGGCTGTGTTTAAGCAACAGTTTAAGTTTTCAGTTTTCCTTAAGACCCTAGTTCGAGCTGTAACTGAAATACCCTTGCAAATCAAACCTTATTCGATTATATTTCCTTTGAGTTTTGACATTGATATGTAAAGATTTTTTTTTTAGAAATCAGAATCTGTTTCAATTATCTAAATTTTTTCCACTACAATTTCAGAATTTTTAAAATATATTTGAGACATCAAAAGCAGAGTAAGAATCTAAATACAGCTTTGTTCAGGATGTGTCTGTATCACACGGGCTCTCCAGACTGCGCCCGTTCTGTAGCAAGCCCCTCATCGCTGTGCTGTAATCTGACTGCAGATTTCTGATCTCTGCTATACAGCTTCTAGATTTATTATTGTCGGCAGCCAGACCCCTAGAACAGAATGGCCTCTCTTTCAAAGGGACAGACACCCTGGCCTAGGAAATGAGAGAAGTAAGATGTTTTCACCTGAGAAAAAGAAAACTTCGTTCTCTTGTAAATGCTGATTCGTTCTTAGGTTAGACGGTCCGGTTCCTGGTGGCATCAGAAAAGGTTAACCCGCTCTCTCTATTTCATATGCATGTGTGTTGTAGATCACGAGGAGCCCTGTGGCCCCAGCCTCAGGTCATTTTGCCTGAATGGGGGGATATGTTATGTGATTCCTACTATTCCCAGCCCATTCTGTAGGTGAGTGAAAGGGACTGGGGGAGAGGGTGACTGCAGTTCTCACTGTCTGAGGCCATGAGAGGGGCCTTTAAAGGTAAAAAGGGCAAGATGAAGGGGAGTGGGGGTGCTCTGTTCTCTTTATGTAGGACAACGCGATGCTGGAAGAAAAACAGTCTCAGTGTGGTGTTCATTTTCAAAACGGGTTCATGGTTATCAGCCTAGAGAGATTATAAAGAACACTGCGAAAACCTTCTGAACTGTAGCAGTTTCGGGAAAGTGGTCTGTTCAACATTGCTAGCAAACCATCACGAGAAATCGCTAGTATGAAAAGCCCAAACAAGACGTTTTGCTTTAATATAGAATACGTAAATACAAGATAACTAACTGGTCTTTGTTCTTCTCTTCTAATAGACAGTAGCTATTGTTTCGGGAGATTGGAAAGACTTTGTAGTTCATCCTCCAAATTCTAATTCTTTTTTATTGTGACTTTTTTTACATCTGTATTTTTTTCTGTTATAATCCCTTAATGTGTGACTTAATCACATTGTGATTAGAACATTTGAACCACTGAGCTGTCTGCACTGAGTTAAAAGACGGCACTAAAGCCAGACATGGTGGAACATTCCTTTAATAGCAGAACTAGGGAGGTTGAGGCAGGCAGATCTCTATGAGTTCCAGGCCAGCCTGGGCTACCACAGTGAGACCCTGTCTCAAAACAACAAGACAGTATTAAGAACACCAGGACTCGGAGATTCATTAAAATGGGAGAGAAGCTGGTTGCCTGTAGCTTTTTTACTTCAATAAATGTGTTTTTAGTACATTTCCAAAAAGTTATCCTCAATGAATGAGAACAGGCAGTTTTCCTGGTAAAATACTAAATTTAAGAATCTTTTGAGGTTCTTCTTGATTTCTACTTTTGAGCAGCAATTCCTAAGTAGCTGACACCATGCTCTGAGTCCATGGTGGATGGAGAATAAAGGCTCTGGAGACTGGCCAGCACATGGTGTCTCTGTAAGAGCTTAGCGGGGCTGGTCCCCTCAGGCAGGGGGTGAACCATGTGACCAAGAGTTGTTCAGCACCCTGGAGGAAGGGGGATCGAGCTGCAGGAGATGGGAGGACAAGGAAGGCTGAAAGTCAAGGAATAGGGCGTCTGAAGGTTCAGGGAAGTTGAATGATAATTATATTTTAAATCATGTATTTTATAATAAAATAATTGCTTTCCAAGGACCTTAGGACTACATTTCTAATATTGTTCTCACTAACAGTGCAATAGCAACATCTGAGGAGGGTAAATTCATTTTCCACCCTTTCATATATTTCCTGTATTCCCAGTCATCTTGCCATCAAGAAACACAGACTCACTTCTGACTGGTATTGCTGGTTCAGCCAGTTGTCGGCAGGATTTCTTCTTTGCCCTATGTCCTTAATCTCTCCACTCCTTTCTGTTTTCACTATTGGTCTCCTAGCTGAGACCTCCATGACCCCAGGCTTGTCCAACAGACACAGTCTGCAGACTTAACTCCCGGAGCCGCATCCACATCACTGCACCGGATACATCAAGAAACTTGAACAACAGACCCTGTGCCTACATGTCTACTACCTATGGACCAAAGCTTCACTGTTTTGCTTAGCTTTTAGAGCCTTTTATAATTTGGTACCAAACCTACCTTTGCGGCCTTTGCTTCATGCTTGGTCAGTGCTTGGTCTAGAAGCACTGTTTGTGCTAAATACACTTTGAGTATGTTGCTCACCTTGAATTTCCAACTATTCTGCCTCTTGTTACGTAGCCACATTCAAAACCTACTCATGTTTTAAGGCTACTTTCTCCCTAACCTTTCAGCCCATCACAAATCCACACTAACTTCTTCTCCCTGTGGACTTCTACAGAAACATGGAAAAGTTATTACTTTATATTTGGGTCATTTATATACTCATCACTCTTGTTGGAATATAATAGCCCCATTCTATCTCAGCACCTGTAGGCATGTCTTGTGTCTTGTGTTGACTCAATGATCCATTATCCATGCTGAAGTATGTCTGAATCAGTGATCAGTATTCTTAGTGAAATAGCTAAGTGAATTAGAAAAAAGAAGGAAAGAAAATGGCAATGTCTGAATCTTCTTTATCCATCTGCTACAATCTCCCCCTGCAAACAGTAGGTGGCATTTCCCTCTTGTCTATACTTCTTTCTCACTGAACTTTCTCAGAACATACTCTAGTTTTCTTTATATAATTTATCTAGTTAGTCTTTAAGTAAGCGATTCAAGCTAGCATTTTAATTGAGTGACTGATACGAATTCCTCCGTGTTTTCTTGAGCGTGGTGCTCACACATTCTCGGTACTCAGGGGCTGGAGACAGAAATGTCGCCACTTCATGGCCTGCCTGGGAGACAATGTGAGACTCTGTCTTAAAAAAAGAAAAAAAAATCTTTGGTGTGTATTAAAATTAGCTTTGAATTCTGGTTCATGGACAGAATTTGAAGTGGTCAACCTGTGCTAGAGGGGGATGTGGGTTCTGAGTGACGGGTACTGGTTGTACATCAGTCCAAGCTTCTTCCTTCCCCAGTCCTCCATCTGCGTTTCTGACCAGTGTGGTTTGTCAATGGCTAAAGAGCTGTGCCAAAAGTTCCTTCTGCGATTTTGAATTTGCAGTGGGTTTCTGCTAATTTTTGCTTAAAATATTTTGAAGTAATGTTATTAAGTCCATGTAAATAGATAATGGGTTGCTCCCTGGTGAAATTCCCCTCACCATTGTGTGATAGTGGGTCTTCTTTGTCCCCAACAGTGCTCCCTACCCCCCCCCCCCATCTATTTCATCGACATTAGGGTGGTTGTCCCTTGTTGACTAGTAGAAGTTTCCCTTCAACTTTTTATTAGGTGTGTCTGTAAATTATGCAAAATAAGCTTGAAAAATATCCAAATGTTTTTATGTCTAAAATGTTTTTCTTTTAATGAGAGTTAATCAAATTTTGTTTCTCTGGTTATATTAATTGAATTTTTAAATCTGTTTTTAACCATCTTCCCTTATGATTTCTACTGTACTTTTAAAGATTCCTTCTGACCTTTTCAGTGTGTTTTGGTTCATTTTGTTTTGTGGCAAGATCTCACACTGGCCCAGGCTAGCCTGGAACTCTTATGTAACTAACCCAGGCTGGCCTGGAACTCTTACGTAACCCATGCTGGCGGGGATTCCAGGCATGTGCTGCTGCCATGGCCAGCTCCGTACTTGCCTTTGGCTCTAAGACCTTGAGTTATGTGTATTAAATTAGGATATATCGTGCACTGAGCCATGCTGCTTCCCCGCCAGAGACGCTGTCCTCCGTCTGTGAGGGACATGACTTGCCTACTCTCTGTGAAGCCTCCTGCATCCTGTCTAAGCAGGTGTGGGGTCTCCTTCCCTTGCCCCTGCCACCCCAGTGTCACACTATCATGAGGGCTGACGTGTGAAACGTTTTAATTCTTTATTAAGTCACAAGTATTTTTTTCTCTGGTTGTCATATCTAAGGATTCATTGCCAGACCCCTGAAGCTTCCCCATGCTTTCTTCTGAATTGTTCCTACCTTATGTTTAGGTCTTTGATCTATTTTACATTAATGTTGTGTTTGGTATGAGTTTGTTGTTTTTGTTTGTGCTGTTTTTTTTTTTTTTTTTTTCTGTACCTGTGCAGTTTTTCTAACCTCACATGGTAAAAAGCTCTCTTTTCCTCGTGGCATGGGCTTGGTGACTTGCCTATGTGTGTGATGGCTTATTTTTGGGCTCTGTATTTCTACCCCATTTGGTCCATAGTCTGCATTTATATTTTTACCACAATTTAATATTTTAGCATATATTTATATGTTGGGAGATGTGCATGCTATGACCTGTATGAAGGACAGAGGACAACTTGGCAGGACTTGGCTCTCTCCACCCTGTGAGATCCAGGAATCAAACTTAGGTTACCTTGCTTGGTGAAAACCACCCTTGCCCACTGGACAATCCTGCCAGCCAGTCACAATATTTTTTTTATATTCTACTTAGAGTCCTCCAGTTTTCTTTCTCAAGAACGTTTTGGTTAATCAATATATCTTAAAAGTCCCTGAGGGTCTTAAGACGAGCCTGCTGTTGTTGTATATAGAGGCGCTCAGTTTTGATGAGGTCACCTTGAGTACTTGTACAGCCATTTTATTTATGTATTTGTTTTAGATAGGGGTTCACTATGTAAACTGGCTGGCCTTGAACTCACAGAGATCCACCAGCTTCTGCCTCCCAGGTGCTGGGATTAAAGGCCTGCGCCACCCTGCCTGGTCACTTATTTATTCTGTGTCAGACATTCTATGTGGAAACTGTAAAGGTCATTCAAGGCCTTTGGTGTTGCAGTTCTTCAGAGAGGATCTGCACATGCTTTGGTCAGGGAGTTGGAGGCAACAGTAATACTAGGGTGACCATTTGGTGATAGGGATTCTTTGCAGCTAGGCCTCAGCTCAATGTGGACTACCTCATCTGCTTTACCACTGTGTCAGAGATAAACGTCAGAATCATCTTTCCAACTTCCAAAATAAGAACAAAGACCCATAAGACTTTAAATTAGATTGAATCTTTAGATCAATCTTAAAATTGGCATCTTAAAATTGGAGACTTCTGTTTTTAAAGTGGGCATTTTAATAGTTTTTGGTTGGTATTTTAAATGGCATTTAAAACTTTTATTTTATTTTATTTATTTATTTATTTTTTTTTTTTTTTTTTGATTTTCGAGACAGGGTTTCTCGGTAGCTTTTTGGTTCCTGTCCTGGAACTAGCTCTTGTAGTCCAGGCTGGCCTCGAACTCACAGAGATCCGCCTGCCTCTGCCTCCTGAGTGCTGGGATTAAAGGCGTGCGCCACCACCGCCCGGCCTTATTTTGTTTTTTAAGACAGGTTTTTTTTTTTTTTGTCTTTTAAAAAAATTTATTGATTTTATTGAGCTATACATTTTTCTCTGCTTCCGTCTCTTTCTCTCCCTTCCCCTTCAACCCTCTCCCATGGTGCCCATGTTCCCAATTTACT